TTGCAGAACACTAGGGACAGGACAGCTCACACCATAACGCTAACGCGGCCGTATATGGTCGAGCAGATCCTCATGCGGTTTCGCTTCCCGTTCTCCAAGGTACAGCCCACCCCTCTTGCCATGGATCAAGGGCTCACGGCTCCACCTTCGGACGAGCCATTTGAGTTTAGTGGTCCATATCCTGAGCTGGTGGGTTGTCTCATGTACCTAATGGCCTGTGGTCGCCCAGACCTAGCTTACCCTCTTAGCAGCCTTGCATGCTTTATTGCGCCTAGAAAACTCCGACCTTCTTACTGATACTCTGCTAAGAGGGTGGGGAAGCATGTGAGTACATTAGACATGGGACTTGTCCTTAGAGGGAGGCAGCTAGTTACACTTATAGATTTCTCAGACTCGTCGTGGGCCGACGACGCACAGTCACTGCGGTCTACACAAGGTTACTGCTTCAGCCTTAGGACCGGAGTTGTTTTGAGGAGGTCGACTCGGGCGTCGTCCGCCTCTAGTTCCAGCTGTGAGGTAGAGGTGTACGCTGCGGCCGTGGCCGCCCACGAGCTTTAATGGCTGTCTTTCCTCCTCACAGACCTCGTCGAGCAGCCTCTCTCTCCCCTAGTCTTGTTTGCCGACAACAGGTCTGCTATCCTGTTGTGAGAGGAGCCCTAATTGGTTGGGAAGGCGAAGCACATCCTTCTTCGTTACTTCTTCCTTCTGCAAGAGTTGCAGCAATGTGGCCAGGCACTCGTGCGACGTGTGGTCTCTGAGACCAACACTGCAAATATCTTCACCACGGCGTTGCCACCTAGTGACCACCAGCGTTTCTGCACCCAACTTGGCCTTATGCCTAGAGGCCTTACTTGCTTGCGTAGAGATGCTTTGTCTTGTACTATTGTATCTCACTATATGTTCTATATCTGTGCTTGTGGACAGGCCTTATGGCCCCTTGCTCCTGTAGAGATGCTTGTCATGCATGTCTTGTACTCTTGCATCTCTTATATCTGCTATACCATTGCATGTGGATTGGCCTTGTGGCCCCTTTGCTTGCTCTCGGACTGTGTGGTGATCTTGAGATCCCCCCCAAGAGTGGCTTTGTTCTTGTGAACTGCTCTTGTAACCGTTGCTTGTTCTTGCTGACTGGTCTTGTGACCCTTGGTCTTGCTTTCTACAGGACAACTGTCACCTAGCCTATGGAGGTGTGTGACACTATAATTGTTTTAGTTTGTTAGTCTAGGTGAAGCTCTAGAAAAAAAAATCTAGCAAACTGGCACACCCCCAAAAGTGGCGAGACGCGTGAGCCCAAGCTCGCACACGTAGAAATGGTGTGGCGCACGTAAGAGGGCCTTAGTGAAAATGTCAGCAAGGTTAGCAGTAGCGGCCACCTTGCGAAGATGTAAGAAGCCAGACTGCACCAGTTCGCGTACGAAGAAATAGCGGACCTCTATGTGTTTGCTGCAGGCATAATAGACAGGATTTTCAGTGAGACGAATCATGCTCGCACTGTCACAAGAAAGCATCACAGAGGGCCGAGAGTGACCAAGCTCATCAAGGAGAAATGAGAGTCAGCGAGCCTCCTTAGCTGCCAATGTGCCTGCGTACAACTCAGCCTTGTAGGTGGAAAGGCGGACAGAGGATGAGCGAGTGAAGCGCCAGCTGATGAGATCACTGCCATGAGTAAAACCATAACCCTAAGAGGAGCGGCGATCAGGGCGAGAATCAGCGTAGGAGGAATCACCGTAACCGGAAAGAACAGAGGGGGAAGAGCCACCAAGAGTGAGTGCAAGATCAGAGGTTGCGCGGAGATAGTGGAGAACGTGCTTGGCAGCCCCCCACTGTATCTCAGTGTGGCGACCAAGGCCAACAAAGCGAGAGAGGATACTGAGGGGGTATGCAAGATCGGAGCGAGTGCACATCATAGCACACATGAGTGACCCAATGAGTTCAGGATAGGGTCGCAATTCTGAGGAGGGAGCGGGAACAGCAGGAGCAGTAAGCTAATGGTTAGCTGGAAGAGGAGTGGAAACCGGTTTGGCCTGCAACATTTAAAAGTGCTCAAGGATGGAGTGGATGTAAAAAGATTTAGAAAGGGAGATGGTGCGCGCAACACGATCGCGACGAATCTTGATGACGAGGTAGTGACGAAGCTCGCCAAGATCCTTGCACAGGAGACGCGCTCGGAGGGCCCGCTTGATAGTGGCAAGATTGGTAGAATCTTTGGCGAGGAGCACCAAGTCATTGACGTATGCAAGAATGTAAAGCCTGTGGGGGGGAGTGCGAATGAAGGGACTGGGGTCAAAAGAGGAGGTGGAGAAGCCAAAAGAGTGAAGGGTAGAGGCGAGTTTAGCATGCCATTCATGTGGGGCGTGCTTAAGACCATACACTAGGCGCTTCAGCTCCCAGAGAGTGCCTGGAGGTAAGGGGCCAGGAAAGCTAGCGGGGCGCTCCAGGAAAGTGCGTTCATGAAGCTCGCGTTGGAGAAAGGCATTAGATACATACATGGAATGAGTCTACCAATCCTAGCGGGCGCCTGGATCAAGAAGGAGACGGGCAGTGGGGGAGTAAGTGGCAAAGTAGTCAATGCCTTCACGTTGGGTGAAGCCTTTGGCGCAGTAATGGGCTTTGAAGACAGGGAGCTCCCCAAACAACTGTTTGACATGAAAGACCCATTTGCCTTTGACAATGGTGGCGCCAAGGGGAGGGACAAAGTCGATGCAAGAGTGAGTTCAAGTAAATGCCTCACACTCTGCAATGATGGCAGCCATCCACTCAGTGGCATGAAAGCCAGACACTACCTTGGAATAGGTGTGAGGGGTGGGAATAGTTGCAATGTCAATGGAAAGAAGAGTGGGAGAATTGGAGAAGTCGCTAATGGTGACACATAGGAGGGGTGAAACAGGATGTACAGAGAAGAGCTCCTCAAATCGATCTTCGACAAGATCAACGTTCTTAGAGGGAGAGAGATGAGTAAAGAGAGAAGAGTGTTGAAAACTGGACATTGCACGGGTCATGGAGTGGGTGAGACGTGGAGAAGGTGGGGGAGCAGGAGCAGCAAGAAGGGTAGCAGAAGGAGGTGGTGAGGGAGAGGTCACGGGAGCAGAAGATGAAGAGGCAGGAGGAGAGGTGCCAGAGATGACAGCAGAGGGGGGGGTGGATGATGCAGGTAGGGGAGGTGGAGGAGGTGCGGGAGGAAGGGGAGGAAAAGAGGGAGCAGCAGAGGGCAGTAGATCAAAGTCAGACCAATGAAGAGAAGGAGCTGGAGGGGTGGGAGAGGGAGTGAGGAATGGAGACCGAGTCTCATCAAAGATGGCATCCTGGCTGCGAATGAGCTGCTAAGAGGAGGGAGCATAGAAAAGGTAGCCATGACAGTCAGTGTTGATGCCAATAAACGTACAAAGCTGCGTCTTAGGAGTAAGCTTACCACCCTAACGCGCTCGATCGACGGGATTGATGAGGACATGAGCGACACAGCCCCACACCCAAAGAGAGTGGGCAAAAGGCTGGAGACCAGTCCAGAGCTGGAAGGGTGTAATGGAAGGGCAAAGGGGATGAGGGCAAAGGTTAGAAAGAAGAGTGGTGTGAACAAGAGCGTAGCTCCAAAGAGAGTGTGGAGCAAAGGCTTGAGTAAGGAGACAGTGAGTGATCTCTATGAGAGTGCGAATACGACGCTCGGCAACACCATTCTGTTCAGGAAAATGCGGAAGGGTGGAGGTTTGGCGAATGCCGTGAGAGGAGCAGCAAGAAGAGAGAGAGTGGTAAAGAACTTGCCACCACCATCAGAGTGGAGGCGCGCGACAGAACAGCCAAAGCGAAGACGGGCCTGCTCAGCCTAGCAAATGATGAGGGAGGGGGCGTCAGATTTTGCACGGAGGGGATAAACAGTGGCAAAGCGAGAATGGTCATCGATGAGAAGGAGAAAGTAGTGATAACCCTGGTGGGATGCATTAGGAGAGGGACCCCAAAGGTCCATATGCACAAGATCAAGAGGCTTGGGGGAGGCAGAAGGGGAAGAAGGATGAGGAGATTGGGAGAGCGTGGCCTGAACACAAGGGGTGCATGGAGGAGCGGGAGAGGGGGGAAGGGGGAAGGAAGATTATGGAGCAGCTTCGAGTTGACCATGCTACAAAGGAGAGGGAAGTTGGGGTGGCCAAGATGATGATAGAGAAGAAGGGTAGGTTGGGTGAGAGAGCGACAGTCGCAAGAGGAGATGGGAGAGGCACAAGAAGAGGAAGTATGATGGACAGATGGGGGGATGGGGACACGGAGGGTGTAGAGGCGAGTAGTAGGAGAAAGGGTGAAACAAGCGAGGTGTCAATTATGGTAATGAAGATCACATTAGAGTTCACCTACAGGGAAGAGTGCTCATACACCCAAGCGTTGGAGGGCAAGGAGGGATAGGAGGCTATGACAACAAGAGGGAACATTAAGGACAATAACAGCGCCAGAGGGAGAGGTAGGACAGGGAAGAGAAGAGTTGCCAGTGCAGATCATGGTCATGGTCTCCCCAGCCCCATCAATAGAGAAGGGACGAGGAAAAGTACGAAGAACACTAGCATCGCGAAAGAATGAGTCAATAGTAGCACTGTCAAGGATAAAATCCAAAGTGCGCGGAAGTGAGAGAGCAGTAGCCGTAGGGCTGGGAGAGTGAGAAGCAGTGGTCTGAAGAGGTGGAGAAAGTGGAACAGCAAAGCAAGGGTCCATAAGAGGAGAAGCACCAAGGATGCTATCCTGAGATGGCATGGTTACAGTGAAAACAGGGGCCAGAGAACCAATACCAGACGTTACAGCGGCAGAAACGGCCTGGGCAGAAGAGCGGCGACACTGATTGGACAGCGGAATCCAAGCAGCGGGGTGGAGAACGAGGGGGGTCCATCAGCAAGTAGGAGAGGTGGTGCAAGGGGAGGAAGGGGCAGCGAAGGGTAGGGAAGGCAATGGTAGGAGAGTAGGTACGGTAGAAGGAGTGTGAGGGCGGAAGCGCAGAGGAAGAGAAGTAAGGGCAAGAATAGGCGCCATCAGGGGGAGGTGACAGCAATGGAGCAGATATGGGGAGACAAAAGAGGAGGAGGAATAAGGGCGATGTAGTCAGCTTCTGAGCTGGTGAGGGGAGAATCAGGAGGAGGAGGGATAGCAGCGGAGTAGCCCGCTGCTGCGCCGCTAAGGGGAGAAACAGGAGGAGGAGGGATAGCGGCGGAGTAGTCCGCTGCTGCGTTGCTAAGGGGAGAAACAGGAGGAGGAGGGATAGCGGCGGAGTAGTCCGCTGCTGCGCCGCTGAGGGGAGAAACAGGAGGAGGAGGGACAGCGGCGGAGTAGTTCGCTGCTGCGCTGCTGAGGGGAGGAACAGGAGGAGGAGGGATAGCGGCAGAGTAGACCGCTGCTGCGCCGCTGAGGGGAGATACAGGAGGAGGAGGGATAGCGGAGGAGCAGTCCGCTGCTGCCCCGCTGAGGGGGGAAATAGGAGGAGGAGGGATAGCGGCGGAGTAGTCCTCTGCTGCGCCGCTGAGGGGAGAAACATGAGGAGGAGGGATAGGTGTGGAAGAAGATTGGTGACGAGACACAGTCAGCTAACAGTTGCAGCAGATAGGAAAAGAAAAGAGGCGGAGGAAGAGGTGAGAAGGTGAGGGAAAGAAAAGGAGAGAGAAGAGGAGGAAGAGGGTGAAAGAGCAGAGTGTGAGGAGGTAGGAGCACGATCACCAAGTGTCAACTAGTAACAAACAGCCACTTGCAGCAAATGCGGAGGGGAAGGAGGCGGAGAAGGGAGGAGAGGGACGGAGGGGAGTAAGGAGAGAAGAGAGGGGGAGGAGGGTGTAGAGGCGGATGGGGTGAGCGGAGAAGGAGGAGGTGGTGCGAAAGAGGCAGGAGAAGGCGGAGGAGGGGGGTGTTGGCGCACCACGAGGGGGGAAAGAAGGCGCCCGCAAAGGGGAGGGGAAGGGAGGGCAGCCGCGGAAAGGTGAGACTGGGCAGCGGGGTGAGTGACGGCGGTAGGAAAAGCACGCGCGCGCGACGATGGCAGGCAGGACGCGCGTGTCGACGAAGGCAAGGCGCACGCGTCGACAACAGGCAGGGCGTCCGATGAGCCGGGACACAGGGCGTGTGACAAGATGGGGTAGGGAGCGCGCAGCGAGGCGGGGCAGGGGGCGCGTGACAGCGGAACGGGGTGCGCAACGAGGCGGGGAGATCGAGGGATGGGTAGATCGGGGGTCTACAACTTAAAACTATGGGAAAATTGAAGTTCTAGAGGATAAAACATAAATTTTTAACTAGTAAATGAATGGCACGCTCGGTATCTAAGGCCTAAATCGTGCTAAGAGATATGAATAAAGGTAAAACGCTAAGGATGAGGCTCTAGATACCATGTTAAGGTGGAGAATAAGGAAGCCATGGCTAGGGAGAGAAGCTAGTGAGAGAAAAAATGTACTAAGAAAGAGAGTCGAGATACAAGTCTAGAAAGGAGTTAGAAACCCTTATTGAACTTAAGGTATGTTCAGTCTATGTTATAGCTACGAAATGAACCTTATGTTATGTGATGCTATCACTTGCATTCACGTTTGTCTGCCTCCCATCACATATTCGTGCGTTGCATGCGTGGTGTGAGCGTGTGCAAGAATTTGTGTTTGATGTGGTTTGGTTTTTCTGAGTGTGTTTGAATGTTATTTGGCTTGAGCAAATATTTGAAGTGACTCCTCTGCTCGAGAGCTTTCCGATGAACCAAGTATCGCTTCAATCGGAGCACGAGCAAGAAAGTTACGAACGTTAGAAGTTTGTATGCTTTTGATATTTGGTTGTGGTGACTATGGGAAGTTGTGGGGTTGACTCTATAAGAGGTACAGATTTTTGGGGGTTGGGAAATTCGTCCCCATCACTGTAGATGCTGCAAAGTGGTTGGGAGAAACCAAATTGAGTTGGCAAGTGTGACCAACTTGGGTGAGGTGGATTGTGGAGGTTGGGAAATGGACAAAAGTCAAAGTGGGGTTCCTATAGGGAAGGGATTTAGTGTGCTTATGGGGCTTCCTTGGTTGGGGACTCCATGGGGACCTTCCCTCTTGTCCTCCTCTTCCCCTCCCACCTGGTTGATTGCTACTCTATCTTTCTTGTGTGAATCTTGTGAGACTCTTGTGATTGAGTTAAGATTCTATGACAGCATACCCCACCCTGTGCGCCGAATCTGATAAGTCGAGATATACTTTACCTCTTGATATGATTCAATTTGAGAATTGTTCTAGAGCTACAATATATCCAAAATTGGTGAAGTTTTAATGGTGCGTTTTATGTCGATAGCATTTCTTGTGAGCACGACTTTTCTGTCCAGAATTCTAAGCCAATGATTTTGAGAAATTTAGGCCCCTAATCTTTGTAGACTCCTTCCTTAGTCTCTAACAAGTGGTATCAGAGCTGATTAAGGACCTTGTGGGGAGTCTACGGAAGTGTGAAGATCCTCCTAGACTCGCCATGGCCTGTGGGCGTGCCTAAGTGGAGTTCTAGAGGTTGCATGTGACTTCCGGTAAGGGGAAACTCTGCCGAAATTTCATTGGCGCCGACACTTGTGGAAGTATTGTAGGACTCCGTGGTGGACAGCAAGGGGGGAGCTGAAACTTGTGAGTGGGAGCAGAAGAAATGAGTCAAGAGAGTGGAGATGCAGCTGAGAAGAGGAATGAGCCACCACCATCCAAGATTGAGGCATTGGATGGCTCCAACTATGAGGAATGGAGCGGGGATGCAGAGTCTGTTTAAGCGCTACAAGCTGCTGAAACTTGCAATGGGAGAAGAGAAGATGCCGGAGGAAGGCAACGCCCTCGATCGGTGGATTAAAAAGAGCGCGGTGCTGTACGACTTAATTCTTCAATCAGTCGACAACGACATGTTCCAGCACAGCAAGGATTCGGTGGAGTTGGATGATTCCAGACCGAAGGCGTGGAAGCTACTGCGCGACGTGATTCAGCCCAACACGTTGCCGATAGTGATTGTGTTGGAGAAGGACCTGGCTGCCCTTTCCATGCGACCGGGTGATGATGTGAAGCCGGCCTTGGACAAGATCAAGGACACCTATGCGAGGATGGCAGCGGCGGGCAGTGATGTGTCGCAAATGCAACAATGCACCAAGATCATCTCGGTGCTCGACAATTCGTGGGACAACCTCATCCCCACCCTCAACGTTCAGCAGGACAAGTGGACGCCTGAGTGGCTACGGCAGCAGGCACCACACGGGAGGTGGTGCTGCCATCAAAACTGCTGAGGGGTATGGAGCTGCAGGAGGTAGCAGAGGAAGAGGAGGGAGAGGCGGAGGCCATGGGAGAGGCCTTGGCAGAGGGAGAGGCCGAGGTGACTACAATGAGGGGCATTGGAGCTCTGGTGGCAGGGGGAGCATCCGAATGGAGGGTACGTGCTGGTAATGCAAGAGGCTGGACACCCATGGTTCAAGTGTTTCAGCAGGCCAGAGGGATGGGCGCCTCCAGGCATGAAGCTGCTAAGTGGTGAACGTGCTCGAGGTGGCGCTGTGCGAGGTTCAGATACAAAAGGTCATGGTGCATTAGATAAAGCCAACCCTGGGATTTTCCTCATGGTTGAGGATGTGAAAGGGAGTGAGGGTGATGTGGGCTTGGCTGGGAAGGTTGTGATGCACCCCCTCACTCACTAGGTGATTGGTTCAGGTTGTACAAGTCACATGACCCCACGGGGAGATTTGCTTGATGAGCTAAAGCCCCCTAGGAAGATAAAGGTTGTGGCTGCCGCTTCCGATGCTTTGCTCCCTGTGATTGGTGTGGGGAATTCCAAGGTAATGGGAGCCAATGGGGGGATTTTGGGGCTGGGGAATGTGCTGTTGGTTGAAGGTTTGTCCCATCAAATGTTCGTGCGTTGCATGCGTGGTGTGAGCGTGTGCAAGAATTTGTGTTTGATGTTGTTTGGTTTTTCTAAGTGTGTGCGAATGTTATTTGGCTTGAGCAGATATCTGAATTGACTCCTCTGCTTGAGAGCTTTCCAACGAACCAAGTATCGCTTCAATCGGAGCACGAACAAGAAAGTTACGAACGTTAGAAGTTCGTATGCTTTTGAAATTTGGTTGTGGTGATTATGGGAAGTTGTGGGGTTGACTCCATGAGGGGTATAGACTTTTGGGGGTTGGGAAATTCGTACAAATCAATGTAGATGCTGCCAAGTGGTTGGAAGAAACCAAATTGGGTTGGCAAGTGTGGCCAACTTGGGTGAGGTGGATTGTGGGGGCTGGGAAATGGACAAAAGTCTAAGTGGGGTTCCTAAAAGAAAGGGACTTGGTGTGTTTATGGGGTTTTCTTGGTTGGGGATTCCTTGGGGACCTTCCCTCTTGTCCTCCTCTTCCCCTCCCACCTGGTTCATTGCTACTCTATCTTTCTTGTGTGAATCTTGTGAGACTCTTGTGATTGAGTTAAGATTCTATGACAGCATACCCCCCCTTGTGCGCCAAAAATGATAAGGCGGGATTTACTTCACCTCTTGATACGATTATACTTGGGAATTGTAGCTACGCTCTAGAGCTACAACTTACCAAAAATTGGTTAAGTGTCAACTGTTCGTTTTTCATCAACGATATTTCTTGTGAGCGCGACATTCCTGTCCAGAATTCTAAGCCAACGATTTTTAGAAATTTAGGCACCTAATCTTCGTAGACTCCGTCCTTAGTCTCTAACACCTTAAGTGAACATGAAAGCATAACTCACTCTAAGCATGGCGAAAAAATAAAAGAACACCAAAATATAGACCAGAGCGAGCTCTAGCCTACTCCAACTATATGCTCCCTTGTATTGTTTGTTTCTACTTGTTCATTCGCTAGTTGTTACTTTGACAGCTACCCCTGAAGGTGTTGGAGTTGGACATGAGAGTGTGCGTGCACGTGGTCCTAGTGCTGGTGGTGCTGGAGTTGGAGCTGAGCCCGTGTCTACAGGATGTTCTAGTCTTCTAGGAGCTGGTGGTAGTTGAACTATCCCTTGGGGTGCTACGACTTGGGTTGCGGGTGCGCGCTCTGCTGGACCTGGAGAGCTTGGGACTGGCCGCGTAGCTGCTGCTCTAGGAGTGGTGCGACTAGTGCTTTGGAGAGCAGTCCTCGGGCTACCACCACCTCTGACACTACTCCTCCCCCTCACCCGTACCCGACAGGAGATTGCGGCGAATTACAACAGCTACAGAGACATCGTGCGTGCTGCTGAGCAATACGACGCGCTGACTCGAGGTCAACCCAAAACACGACGCTTCACGCCGAACCGTACATTCGGCACGGAGCGATCGGCACCCCCCACGTTTGCCGAACCAATGGATATCGGCAAATACGACGCGAAGCAGCAACCGACAAAAAGTGAATTTTGCGGCACAGTAGGACATCAGTTTTTGTCGTACTACAAAATGAAGAAAGCACGTGCGGCACTCCGGGACAGAAATAGTGGAGCACCCTCGAAGTCAAAAAACAGGAATCGCCAGTAGCCGCGGATTGACCTGGCGATCACGTAAAGATCCGAAAAGCAGGAAAAGGCGACGACGTGGCGACTTCGGAGCGGGTGAAAAAAGGAGAAAATGATGGTGCGAATCTAAAACGTCACGACCTGCCGCCATCAGGGGAAATCGCCGAGGCAAATGGAGGCTCCGCTAAAAAAGACTCTGCACCGACCGGGAAACTCCAGCCGAACACCCACGAAAGAAAGAATTCGTTATAAGTATCCTATAAAGATGCTCTAACAAAGAAAATAGCTTCTCGTGGTTTACAAGCCTTTAAATATTTCAGGGGAGATTTACAGGCCAAGAAAAAGTCTTTAGAAATTATTCAGGTACCTGAGAAGTTGGGCAAAGCACTACGGAGCGTAGAAAAGGGTCGTGCGTTCCGTGGAGTTAATATTCTCTCCCCGCAGCACAGTGTTAAGGCTCTCTTAGGCGTTCCGTGGATCCTATTAACGAGACCCTCTTTGGCTACTCAGCGCAGCAGAAACCACTACTCCTCGAGGTGTTACGCAATGGGCGACGCCTCCAAGCACTGGTGGACAGCGGTGCATCTCACTCGGTGTGTGTTCGCGGAGCATTGGAGAAAATTGGAGAGAAGGCGGAAGAGACCCAGTTTTCAGCAACCATGGTGGACGGTACGAAGCTTCCTATCCACGGCAAAGCATCACTGCAACTGCACATAGGTGCGTTGAGGTGGAAGCCGAAGCTACCAGTCACCAACATCAAAGGATTAGATTTTATCTTGGGGCGAGATATCCTGAAGCGGTTCAACCCCGAGATCGATTGGGTCAACAGCAAGGTGTTTATCTACAACAACGGGAAGCGGATAGCACTGCGAATCTGGACGGATACAGGGAGTACCTGAAACGGCACTGGCATGGTTCGAACAGACGGT